TTTGGAACAGTCGAAAACGTTCAAACGTAACCGTAACCGACCAGCTGAAGGCTACTCCAGTATCCAAGTTCCTCACTGCTATGAGGAGTGGAAGAACCGTCTCCAGCGCTGTGTGGCTTCAGACGAAAGTTATTCTGAGGGTGACAATATAAAATTGTAATTATATTTGAATAAAAAACATCGAAACAATCAGTCTCATCACTAAATTTACAGACCTTGTAGTTTGCACAGACCTTTGCCAAATAGCCCTGACCCGGTTGACTAAAGTGCTCCATCCAAATTCTAAGCTGTGTTTTTTGCGTTTACATCATCGTTTATAGCGGAAATAAACTAAGCATATCCTTAACAAAGCTTCTCATGTTGGAACGAAGTATTTTCGCCATAAATATCAGCGTTTCGGCCATCAGAGCTTCCTGTAATATCAGCCTAACAAATATCCGGTAATTCTCAATGACGACACGGAAGCTTAAGCCGTAAAGAGAAATTAGTTGAGTAAAATATAGGATATTAGGGCGTTTTAGTGTTGAACTAACGCACTTGACATCAGTCAATCCGATTGTGTGGTCGGGAACTATGAATGGCACAGGAAATCATACAGACCATTGTGTTGTTTGGAGCATCTACATATTTATATTTTTGAAAGGTCTAATTATAGAAAAGAGAGATATGCTTTATAAGCACCAACGCCGTTTGATAATATTCTCGAACAATGTTCGATTTTTTGAAAACCTGCCGGTTAGTTTCACCATTGGAACTCGGATAGTAAAGTACTCGAAAACTCCAACCGACGTCAATTTTTAAGACTACTACTCTCAATGCAGCGTTTGAAACTTATCAGTATCTTCATGTTGATGATCTTTGTGGCCGTTAAACAAAAACGGATTTGTAGCTCTGAGTTCTTGGAACACACTATATATAGTAGGAGCAACTGTCACCAGGAAGACAAATGAATATAAAATATACTGTCACTTTCATTTTGTATCTGTACTTTTTGTGAAACCATGCACTTCAATTTCGTTTGTAAAGAAAATGTTAATATGTTAATTCCATTTTTAATTATTTAATTTTAACTGTGACATCTGAACGAACTCATTTCACCAACAACCAAAAACGGTTCGTCGTCACACTGCTTTACAAAACGCAGGGTGGAGCACCCCTGTGTCAACAAAATGTAAACTGTAGGACGCAAATAATAGGCAATTATAGCAACACGTATCAGTTTCTATACAAGCTAATTTTAGGAAACACTTTTAGTAAAAAATGGTTTACAAACGATTGTAAGCTGAAATACTGAATAAGGGTGCTAATTGGAAGCCATCAACATATTTTACACAGTGACAAGCATAAATGTGGAAGACGAGAAAATTTTCAAGGCGGTGAGACAAAACTAAAAAAACGTTAATCTTTCAGTTTACACAAGTTAACGTCCACATATAGAGACCGTTTGCATATGTATCTGTGAGGTAGATTGATGTATGAAGGTAACCTCTATAATTTTACTTTGGCCCGCCACAAACCGTGCAAAGACGTCTTCATCCGGAATACTAGACCACGTTTTGCGCGCTTGGACCAATGCGTTAAACGCGACAAATGAAAAATAATCCACCTTCTATCCTGAGAAAAGATGCCAGGGAATGACCGAGGGAGCAAGTTTCGGCAATTTTTTGGTAAAAATCTTCAATACCTTGAGGTTTATTCGATTTAAATCAAGACTGACAAATATGTGGCCCGTGGGACTCAACATGACCCCTAAAGGTTTGAAATTCAAATTTTTTTCTATTTCCAGCGTAATATATAGAAACGTTTTTTGCTCCTCCTTATTCACGAGGTAGGTAGTAAGAGCAGAAACATACATTGATCCTTCAGCAATACCGCAGCAATCTAATAATTCATTCTAAATTCAATTAGTATTGTAGAAGAACTTTCCGGCTAGACACAGATAGTACAGAATTTAATACAGCATAAATGCCAGGAAAGCTTGAGCCAGCCTTACTCTAAACATACTATAAGTGCTTATTCGTTTTACTTGGCTGCCTATTGAAAGAATGAAGTGGTCCAATTACATAGCTTCAAGCCCACCATTAGCTTAATTGTTTCCGCTCTGTTGTTGTTTTTTCTATGTGATATTTTCTATTATTCGCGTTTAATAATTTCATGTTCTCTCTATTTGACATCACACTTTGCTAGCTCTGTTCTTGCTACGGTTTTATGTTACTATGTTTTCAGGCTCTTGGACTTCCTATACTTGCATTCTTTTGTCAAAGAAAGATAAGTGTAAGTTTCCCGAAAGCGTTGACTTGACCTTTTTCTTTTTCCCGTACACGACCGGTTCTTATCAGATACAACACAATTTTCCCGGTCGAAATTTATGAGAATCTGTCTTCTGTATCGAATATTCAGGAGCGGTATGGGTCTCTAAGTGCCTGTAAGTTTAGTTTGAGCCTTGCGTCGTTGATGTGGTTTCCAGGATATGCTGGGGTACATGGAAAAGACATAGCGGACGCACTCGCAAGAGCGGGATCAGAGGGCATGCTTGTTAGTACTGAGCCAGCTCTAGGTGTACCCCCGCAAAGAGGTCTAGGTGTGTGCGCTACGGGATAGAGAAGAAGCCCGCGTTTTATGTTTTGTGTTGATGCGAGGCATTGGGATACTACAAGAAGGGTCCAGTATTTGGAATTTCAAGAAATTGGAGCTGAATGCTATACTCATGTTCGCCAGGTGCGCGGAGCTTGAGGCACACAGAAGGTAGAGGTGCAGGTGGCCTTCGCACTGGCTCCTCTTCGTTAATGCCACCAATTTTCATTTAACCTATTATTTTATTATTTCATGCCAATCGTATCCGCGAGATTTCTGCATTTCATTTTATGCACCACCATGTAAGGTGCATATAAGATGGATACATAATGTTCGATCGCCTGTGAGGCGTCTCTGATTTCCTGCAGCAGCAACAGCGGTGCGTGCGTCTCCAGGAAGTCGCTTGGCGCGTGATCAGGATGTCACGCTGCTGATTATACCTTTTCCAAACGATTGACGGGTTTGTTTTTTTCGTTTCGGGGACTTTAATCGGCTCTGTTCCCAAAAATAGACAGCTGATGCCTTTTTTGATCCCGGTGGGTAATTAGTGTTGCGCAACGTTTGCATCTTTAATTGTTTTGATGACATATGGATAGCAGGTCAGCATTGTCAAGGCTGATCAGTTACAGGCTATTATAATGAACATTTCAGATTGTATCCATTTTAAAGCAAAGAAAAGTATTGAAAAATAATAGATGTGGCCAGTAATAAAATAAGACCGAAGCAATTTATAGTTCGGAAATATAGCCTGAAAGGATTGATGCTATTGGGACAAGTATACTGCACGGAAAATGCAATTATTATTTTGGTTTTTGCAAGAAAATCGAGCTTTCTCCACCAGACCCTCGTACTCATCATTTTTTTGCGAGAGATCTTATAGCCTGGTTTCAAACTGACTAACGCAAAAGAATGGGAAGCAGATTTGTTCTTCGGACCGGCACGGGTATTACGTATCTTGAAAATTGACGTTATACCGATTTTTTTGACAATACCGTTTTTTTACATTATTTAGGTTTTTCGACAAGATGTTAGCTTAGTACTAGCTGATGGACACTTTTGTAAACTCGTTTTGAGTTGTACGGGTTGCCTAAACGTAATGAGGCTTCAGTTATCAATGTTTGGCTATGATGTGATGTAAAATCTACTTCACAGATGGTATTACTGGAGGTAACGGCATAGTGAGGATAATAATATGTGCTAAAGATAATTCCATTAGATTCTTGTCTCAAATACGCTTACATAGATTGACGGTCACAACGATCCTAGTGAGCAGGTTTTATAGGTTTTTGACATAATACCTGTGTGGCTCATTTCACTTTCACATTGGAGTAAGCTGGCTTTACATCTGTTTCAAATACTTTTCCGATTACCAAAGTACGAGTACTCAAGAGGGATATACCAAATATTAGTTATTTCTCGCACATTTTTACAAACACTTCGGAAAATATAAAGTTTAGTTGCCAAACTGACATAATGCAGTTAGCAGGATGCATTTCTATTATTTACCTATACGTTATTTGCTGTCATTATTTTCAATTCCTTTTCAATAAATCGTCTAGCCAGATATAGCAAAATACTTCCGTTTTGTAAAGCTTTATATTAAGATTTAAGATTCTAAATTTCTACAAAGGCCGAAAAGTTGCGTATTGCAAAAGGCGATCTAGGCTACCATAATAAAAGAGAATCTTTAATTTTGTTCAAAGGCATGAATCTTTTCCTTATATGAACATCTATTAGCTATTCAAAACCAAGAATCACAATAGTCCGGTATACCGTCGATCACAATTTGCATAGAACCATTGTTTAACCTATTCTACGTGAAGATAGGTCACCATATACTGTATTCCAGAATCCACAAAAGGTTCTCAAACGTACTAGCTCTATCTATGAAACAGTAGCAGAAAACAAAATGAATTGAAATCGACTTTGAAAAGAGAAAAGAGTGGTTCTGCTACTGTCTCATATATAGCACTAGGATTTTCAATCCCTTTTTGGCGCCATCCATATTAGTATTATAATTAGGTATCTTCAGGATGGAAAATGCCTGAAAGTACCCATTTAAAATTGCCAGGCAAGGTTAGTCTTAGCAACGTTGCCAGATGGTCGGTACTGTCGTTAGGACAATAATGATTGCTGGATCGTAACATTCTCAAAGGGAAGGAGACTATGGACTAATTGTATGGGCCTGTTTTACTGACTTGATGCATTAATTTTTTTAACTATTTTTTTTTGACAGACAGGCTAACTTGTATTGAACATAATGTTTCATGAACAGCAACCAACGTTGTATCGAAAACGCAGATTCAACCCACTCAACGCCATTTTTATATGGATATACTACAAAACGGAGATTGGCGCTTCAACTCTGAGCACCTATCAACATAGAGATGGCGGCTGGACCATCAATGTTTTCCGTCTCTTGAAAAATGGAGCTACTCAACGGTAAAAAACCGCTGAAAATATATCCGACATTATGAAAGATGATTGAGACTCCATCATTGCCAAACTCAATCCACATTGATTTATAGCATTCTCGTTAAGTACGTGTAAATACATTCGTCATTTGGCAGATCGTTTTACACGCAAACTTCCACAAATGCTCCTGAGTCTTCCAAACACATGTTTTTCGTCTGCAATCTATTCTAGGAAATTGGGGTTTTTTGCTCCGGTATACCATCGGTCGCCACGAGAGTGTGAGATGTTTGTTTTCCTTGAGGTTACTTGTTAATTTGTTGTGGGTTAATTTCCGTATGAAAATGATTCGTTCGGGCGATATGCGTAAGCAAATGTAAACGATGGAAGTTTGAATCGTTTGGATTTACACAAAAAATTCCCTGTTATGTGTACAGATAGTGTTTACAGAACAAGGTCCAGAAAATCAACTGATTACACATCAAGAAAATGATCCACGAGTTCGATGTTAGTTCAGGCGTTGGGATGAAACACATGACCCAATGAGAATGATTATATATTGATTTTTGATGATGAGGTAGTTTGCATTCAATTTTTTTAGATATGAAATACTTTACATGTTCGATTCTTTATACAAGCTTTTAGATTGAATAATATATCCGGTATTTTCGAGAAGATAACCTCACGTATATTATTCCTGAACTTATTAGACATTTGATGAAGTCGGAAGTAGACAAGATAGTATTCTTTGCCCAAGGATAGAAGTTAGGCGAATCTTTCAGTATCTCTTTATTAATCTATAAAATATAAAATCTAACGTCACTTAAATAGTACGCACAATGGAATCCATTAACCCCTACATTTTCGATTTTCATGGACCATGAGAGAGCTATGGATTGTAAAGATTAGGCATGTAATAGGTACCATAGCCCCACAGCCATAAATTAAAAGCCTCTCGAATCATCCATTTAATATTCTCATAACATATTATTACCGGTATGATAATTATCAATAATTTGCAGCAAGCTTGTAACATACAATGTCCAGAATGAAGAAGGTATACTCGTACACCTACATCAGCAATATTGTTAATACACAAACATTGTGAATATTGTTCATTTTGGTATATAGTTAGAAACTTTACATATTTATCCTCATAGATAACTTCAACACGCATCAAGAAATATGATCAATGATCAAACAAAGCATGGTCTATGGCGTAACCAAATATTTTTTACAACAAAGTTGCGATCATAATCATAAGCAAAATGTTGATTGAGAACAAGAAATATAGATTGTAATATAGTAATATCATCATTAGAAGATGGGTATAAAGATGCATTATTGAATTTATTTCGAAAAAAAGTAAGACAGGTTGTTCCATCGGGATCCGTACCTGTACTAATATTATCTGGATCTGTAGGTGGATCGATACAATGAACTGGAGATTAGTTGGCAGCATGGCATACGAAAATTGACGTATCGCATACAGAGTTTTGCCTTCTTTAAGATATTACTCAATATCATTAGGACAATCTGAATGTTTGACTATACCAGTTTTTTTTTCATGTAACATTGTGTCTAGCCGAGCCGAGATTTTCATCGCAAAATCCTCCTGCCATAATTACGTTCGGATACACTAAAATACTTTTACAATAAAACAACATATAAATGAATGTCCCCAATATACATCTCAGCACCTAAGAACTTCGGTCGGAGCATTGTCTTGCACTCAACTGTCTTCAAATCCCAGAAAAATTCAGTGATTCAGGAGAAATGCTTGGAGTGAGCTAAATTTAAAATCCTAAATTTAATAGTCTTTATATGCACTCAGTAATTTTTGTGTCTTTTTTCATGTGCATTGCGTATTGTATATCTTTGAGGACGCTGCGCTCCGAAAAGGTTTTCTATGCTCAAGTTTTGAAATTTGCATTTATCATTTTTGCATCTTATCTTGTCTTTCAGTATTTAACAAAATGCTTTGATAAATATTATTGACACAAGTTTGGTTTCAATTGTTTAATAGGTGAATTGCCAAAGTAACCATTAGGAAGATCAAGGCATCACTATAACAGTTAGCACATGATACGATATACCTAATACATTAAAAATAGGGATATCTCCCGGGCATCTTTTTAATGAATCCGAAAACTTGTTAAAAAAGTTATATTTAGGATCACTGATAATGATGATGTCTATCCCATTTTAAGCGGGGCACAACAGATAGCAGTACACCACGTGTGAGGCAGTGTATTATAATGTTATCTGTCACTATTAAACTGTTTTCAATTCCAGGAATTCTAGAATAGACCATATGTTGAGTGATATTTATACTCATATTCGAACAAGAATTGTAGATCGTATTTCTTTACAGGTCTGTATTGTACTAAAATTGGTTATTGTTCATACCAGGCAGACGAAGAATTTCCTTTTTGTTTCTTATTAGGTACAATAATTATGGATTTGCACTAGAACTGCCTACCAAATAAGTTTCATTGCTACCTCAAGTGCTAGTAAGCAATAAGGTAGGATGGGAAACGAAGAGAAGAGAAGTGAAATTCTTCCGCTACACAATCGATATAAAAATTTTTACACAGATTATGTTACAGATGATGCCTCTGGCTTATACATATACAATAAACAAACAAAAAGATATTGCTTCTGTATACATTCAAAATATGTACTTCTTATGAACGGGGTGCGATACCCGGAGGAGGATAGGGGACGTAGGATAAAACCTTTTTACAAAATATTATTATTATGAGATATGTCCAGTGTACAGGACCCTTGAATTTTGGAGGCTGGATTTGGCACCGCTGGGTTGATCCACTTTGGTCAAAATCGGCTTCACAGATCTGTCTTTCTCGGTGTTTTCAAGAGATTTCTTGTGCGCCTGATCCAGGCGTGTTGCCACACTGCCCTTTTGTAGCATCTCCCAAAGAATGTCATCTGGGCTCCAATAGAGGAACTGCCCAGCTCCGTATGTTAACACCGGGTAGATGCTTCAATTATTTTCAATTAAACTTCAATAGAAACATTCGAGTTGAAGTCAATGATTGGAGGCAGAGCGTAAGCTGCTCGGTTAGCCTTAAGAATTCCTTCTTCAATGAGGCCGTCCGTGCTTACTGTTTTTTTTAAATTGATCCCAAGGTATCGTATTTGATCCAGGTCGGTGTTACGTCGTTATAGTCCTTAACGAGATTTTGGATGATTTAGGGAAGCTTTTTGGAATTTTAACTTTGTGGCACGTTTAAACCAATATTAGAGCATGCGCACTAGTCCCCCGCGATGAAAACTGGAGTATGGCTAGACACTCATATAGGTAATTAGCGAATAGATTGGAGAACTCAAAAAATGTTAGCATAAATAAATGCAAGAACACCAGATATTGCAGTCACGTTAACCGCTCAAAAGCGAGCATTAAACAATTAAGCTGAACTGTTCATCAGGCTCTTAATCATAAGATAAAAAACAACAAGGGGGAAATTGGAACTCACCTCCTACAGGTACAGTTTTATATCTTCCTAAGTGCAACTCTGTCTTCTGACTTATCCAACCCCTAACCAGCCACTTATTCCACCCCCACAGTACCAATCACGGCTACCGCGATCCGGCGGGCCCACTTGTAAACAAATGAATAACGATTTGCGTCTGCGTTCACGGCCAACTATGACTATGTCGTCGAAGAAGAAGAAAAACACCAACGGCCGACTTGATATAAAATATGGCGGCGGTGCATCCACACACACACATACAGAAAAACAATTGACAATCGGCGGCTTGGAAGCGAAGAGCGGGGGTGGGGGCAATAAGCAGACGAGACGACGTGATTAGGATGCGATAAGACGCCGGCACAGGGACGGATCCAGGACAGTGGGTCGGATGTATAGCGGTAGACAAAAACGCATCCGGGGCAATGCATAACACATTATTTAGACTGTGTATAGCTCTGTTAGGTAATATGTTTGCGACAGGCTTCTAGTTGGAGAAAAGTATATTAACAATTGAATGATTTTTGCCGTTTGATCTAGAGTCAAGTAATGGATATCTAGGTTTTTGGTAGACGGCATATTTAGGTAGACTTGCACTTGGGTCGGATGTATAGCGGTAGACAAAAACGCATCCGGGGCAATGCATAACACATTATTTAGACTGTGTATAGCTCTGTTAGGTAATATGTTTGCGACAGGCTTCTAGTTGGAGAAAAGTATATTAACAATTGAATGATTTTTGCCGTTTGATCTAGAGTCAAGTAATGGATATCTAGGTTTTTGGTAGACGGCATATTTAGGTAGACTTGCACTTGGTCACAATAAATAGGAATGAAGGTTTTATGTGCCGAGGCACTGTTTGGAAACAAGTGTTTAATGGAATTCTCGGCTTCGTTTCTGAGATGATGCATTCGAAAAGTTCAAATGTTTTCATGAACGCTGATAAATCGTTTCATCAGTTTTTATTGCATTGGACTTCATAGGTTGAGACCATAGTTCACATATGGTTCGATTTTTTAGCATTCATCCGATTTGTGTTGTATGCCTGGTGATTTTCCTTTAACATCATCTTGAGGTTATAACATAATATCCCATGTACCATACAGCCAGAAAAGCTTACAGTTGTTGCAGAATAATGATACAAAGCAGATTGTGATATTTTTGCAGACCAAACGCTGCCTCATCAGAGAACATCTGCAAAATGTTGCTAGATGCTAAGTGCACTCTTTCATCACTTGCTTCTTTTTGCAGACAGCTTAGGGAACCGTTTTGTAAAATCAACCCATTGAATAGGATAGGCCTGGGTACATTTAGTTGATAAAAAAATATTCATCTGAACGGCAAGACCATACGTAAAAACTATCACAGTTGTATCATAGTGGACGGTATTAGAAAGACCAACTGTGTCGTACCAAGAGAGTTTACCTTTCTATACATAGTGTCCGTTATCGTTACTCGCAATCAAAATTATTATTATTGAAATCAGTGGACATAATCCTAAAGCAGCGTTGTCAAATATATGTCTTTAACTCCAAATTGACAAAAATTTATCTACATACACAAAGCACGAAACATGTATTTTTGAGAGAAGTACTGGAAGTATTCTACTACATGGACGCATACAATCGCGGATTTGATTTAAGAATGGAGCCTAGAATTCGAGTAGGTTAGATGTTAAGCCTATTTTACACGGCAGTGTTACCAAGATTACTTAGTGCATATTTTTGGGTAGATTTGCCTAGCAATGCCTATCTGTGCTGTGACGTAAATCGCTAAGTTATTGTTAATAAACAGGGAGAGACACAAATAAGGCAAAGAAAGTAGAAGTAATATTTATTACTTGTGTGGTGCAGTATATGAACAATTCTGACTTAACTTGTAATTTGGAAAATATGAAAAATTAAAAAAGAAGCAATAAACATTAAAGATAGTGGGACATCTTGGGTGAACTTGTCGCAGCTTATTCTATATAGTTGCTGTGATCCGAGCCGATTCTTGGATAAAAGCTCCTATCGAACCTAATATATAAATTATTGTTGTTATAGCTTTACCACTATATAAATCCAATTAAAAGATTTAGAAACGATTCAATTAATTTGAATTCATAGATATTTTAGGGTGTGCTGAACTTTGTCAACATAATCTCGCGGTACTAAAATAAGAAAACATAAAATAACTATTAACTTTCAGATTCAAAATGAAAGTACACATGCCTCATACTTGAATTTTACGTTGTTTTGTTTTAGTACCCATCTAAGGTCGTACTTAATTCCAATAATTTGCATTTTTTAATGTTGCGCTAAGTATGTATTAAATTTTTTTAGCAAACTTTATGTTGGGATTGAGCACTCAAAGAAACAAGAAGTAGGATGAACTAAATCGATATTACCTCAAAACTATCCAGGTAAAAGCCCAATGCCAGGTACGAGGGATGTCTTTTAAGTTTTGCATATAGAAACATAGTAGGCCGCGCGGATCGAACGTCAGTACTGAATCTTAACCTCATCCTTTAGTAAACTTAAATTCAAAGTTTCACAACAATACGTGCAGTGTTCTCACTACAGTGAATTTTCAAGTGTCAGCAAGTCATTAGAAAAATGGAGAGATTTTCGCGCCATAATTTATTACAACTTTCAGAGACAATTATCGCAACAAGAATGCCTTGCTGAGTTACTGTCTGTTTTCGGCAATGAAGCGCCACATCACTCGACAATTTTCCGTTGGTATAGAGCATTCAAACGTGGAAGGGTGAGTCTTAGCGACGATCCCAGGGTGGGTGCACCAAAAACGGCAGTCACCCACGAAAACGGCGCTGCTGTGCGCAAACTCATCATTGAAGATAGGCATGTGACATATCGCGAGATTGAGGCGTCCTTGGAGATCTCAAAGACCTCAATTCAAAAAATTTTACATGAAGAATTAGGAGTAAGAAAATTAGTTTCTCGTTGGATACCCCACCTGTTGACTGAAGAGCAGAAAGCAGCCAGGGTTAATTGGTGTAAAAAACGCTTGACCGTTACAATTCCGGAAACTCAAAAAATGTGTACAGCATTGTTAGTGGTGATGAATCGTGGATTTACTGTTATGAACCAGAAAATAAACTACAGTCGGCTGTTTGGGTGTTCTAAGGTGAAGAAAAGCCGTCAAAAGTCATGCGTTCTCGAAGTGTTTAGAAAAAGATGGTCGCGTCATTTGTGTCAAAAGCGGGTCATATTGCAACAATTCCTCTTAATGAGCAAAGAACTGTTACTGCGGATTGGTATACCACCATTTGTTTGCCAAAAGTCATCACCGAGCTTCGACAAATCAACCCTGAAAGAAGAATCATCCCCCACCAAGACAATGTAAGCTCGCACACAGCCCAAAAAACAAGGCAGTACTTAACGGAAGAAAACTTGGAATTATTGGACCATCCTCCATATAGTCCCGATCTAAGTCCTAACGATTTCTTTACTTTCCCGAAAATTAAAAACAGACTGCGTGGTCAAAGGTTCCAGTCACCAGAAGAAGCAGATGACGAATTCAAAAATGCCGTTTTGGATCTGCCAGCAAAGGAGTGGAATAAGTGCTTCGAAAATTGGTTCGAGCGCATGCAGATGTGTATTAATATTCGTGGAGAATACTTCGAAAAACAATAAAGTCATTTAAAACTACCTACCGTGTTTTTTTATTGCCAGATGCAAAACTTGAAAGACATCCCTCGTATTACAACTCTCCAGGTTTATTACTGTCTATGAAATAGCAGGTGTTATAACATTATTAATGCCCCTTTGTCTATTTATTGGGTACATGGCACTGTTCAAAACAAAAAATAATAAACAACGATGCGGTTAAACTCACAGGTAGCAACAAAAGAAGTTCAGCGAAGTTCATCAGCTAAACTTCCGGTCAACCATCGAATTAATAAAATAAATATCGATTCGATGTGCATTTCGACCGGCTGCTTACATAAGAACGGGACATCGGGAGACGAATATGGAATATGGCGACTGTTAGGCGCTAAATAAACGAGCTGAGGATATCCGCATGCAGGAAAGTACTTGCCTGAATTTTAATCAGCCTTCTACAGTTATTGATGGATGCAGGGATTATGATGCACGTGCGCGGACAGGCTAATTGTTCGGCCATATGCTTTATTATCTTGTTTTATTGACTTTATAGATTATATAGCAATAAAATCAACGTGGACATCGAACATGGTCGAATATGTAGTTTACGTGAGTGTCTGGGAGGTCCTGTTGAGATTAAAATGACTAAAAAAGCATATCCTTCAGGTTTCAAAACCTTCAACATAAATGTAACCTATAGAGAAACTGAGAGTATCTTGCTTATGAGAAAGACCACCTATTTGGGAAATCCAGAGAAAAAGCATGGAGCAACAGACGGCCAAAATCAAGAATTTGAAATGGGACTTAACCTAGAACCCCTGTAGCTCTACCAATGTTTGTTCAATTATTATAGTTTATTTCTCGGGACTTTACACACTTGACCGCAGTCAGGTATTTTCAGAAAAAAAAATAGAAGTTATCAAAAATTCAATGGAATATATACGTATAGTAAAAGCCTTAAGACTGAAAGGCAGCAAATAGGGACCTAACCCTTGGCCTCTTTAAAACTAGAAAAGATCAGGTTTATGATATTCTTTATGTGAATAACGCAAGCTTAAATGTCATCAGTAACGTAGGTAGGTAGTCTTTGGAATTTTCTTACGGCTTATGGCAATACTTTTTAACATTTTTCCAACCGCATTGAATATTCAGACTTTGTTTAATTGGGCTTCTTAGAATGGACAATGATCTATTTTTCTGAAAGCTATACTATATTTTTAAAACTTCATTAAGTTTTTGTTAGAAGGCGTAGTATCGCTCTCATTAATTTTCCAAACTTGTCATATGGCTTTTCCACTTATTCATCTTGACTGGCAGTCCTGTTAAAATTATAAATAACCTCAAAAACACTGATTTCATCGAGAATAAATACCAAATATTGGACAAGCAACACTGGTAAACGATACGACCGCTCACTTGTACCTAGGATATCAAGATTGTGGAACAGTCTATCGAGGAGGCTTTCCCGATTTCTACTAACTTTAGGCTATTGAAAAAACGGATTAACAAAGTTTCTCCAAGCTCCTATCAGCCGCGGCGCCCCGGTATTTAGGTTTCTGCCTACGTGGCTGCTTGGGTATAAAAGAATATTGGAGAGCATACGAATTGTACATATTTATAACAGTGCATCCACAGTACCTCTATAGGATCTCCTACTAAAGTCCTCGGACATTGTTTGTTATCCCTTACAATAGCAGATCCTTGGTTTTTTAAAAGGATAGTGACAATAAGTTGGATAAACTCCATGATTTGGAATATTTTTAAACAGAAACGACACGTGTGCTGAAGCGCCAATAAAAAAGAGTATCCAACAAAGCTCTCCCATACATTAAAAATGAAAGTTCAAAGTTCACTTCTCGCTCTGCGAATCAATCAACCTATGTAGGCCATAAACGAAAGAAGGTAGTCCATTTACATTGGATCTCCTACCGTTGTCCGTTGTTTATGAATGATAAGGACAATCATCCCATTGTCTCTATTGTGAAATAACATCCCATTACAGAGCATTACATCAATTGACGCAAAGACACTGGCTGACTGGGGGAGAAGATTGAGTGATAATAATTTAAGGGAGGCTCAAAGAGGGATTCCTTTTCGATTGACCTATTTATCTGCGGCTGATGCTTTTGTTTATTAGTTCTGCTAAATTTAGCACTCGATAAATATACGGGGAGCGAGTTGTATCCGGAAAGATTAATGTATTCTATTAGTAATCAGATTCGTGAGCTTCCAGAATTCCAGATTGTTAACAAGTTACTAGCTGAAAGAGGGAAAGCAGCCTGGATCATTAACGTTAATTTAGGGGTATTGTTCCTAAACAGCAAGCTCAATATCAGCTTTAAAAACGAAGCACAGCCACGCTTGCTTGATCTAGTTGATATAAGTAGCCCAAGAGAATTTGGAAAGAATACACTTCTTGGCGGCTATGCGCCTATTGTAGTGTTTCGAGTTACAACTCACATCCAGAATGGACGAGGCTGCGAAGTGTGAAAGAAAGAATGTACAAAATGTTATCTGCAATCTTTCGCAAGTTTTGGCTAGGAGATATAGCGTGCTTCCTATATTTGACTGTCCACATTGTAAATGTAATATCTGAAAGAAGCTTCTCAAAATAATGTTAGGATTTAGGTATAGGCAGCGCGGTGGCGTTGTATACTGATTAGTCGCTGTGACCTACGTGGGTTCGAATCCCGTCCACAAAGGAATTCATCTTTTGGTTATGGATACTGTGTACTACCCATTAAAATAAAAATTGGCTTCTATGAGACAAGTATGACTACCTGATCTTGTACTGTCTTCAAACACAGAAAATCTCGAAACATTAAAATCGTCTGCAGCTATTGATGATTCAATAAAAAAGTTTTCCGGAAAAATAGTGTCTAGTAGATCGTACTTATACTTCCCACGCATTCAAATATACCTAATTTCAAATTTTCCTTACACAAATTGAAAATAATTGTCAGACAAATGCTGTTTGAGCATCATCATTTTTATATGAAAGCCAAAAGTAAGCCTTGTTAAAGAATAAACATTTTTGAGCCCCGTAATCATGTTTTTGACTGTCTAACCTGAGTTAATTATAAATCACAAGTTCAAATTTGCGACATATTTCAAAATTGTGATCTCTACAACAATTTTTCCGAATGCGTTCCTAAAATTTTCGAAAACAAGCTTTGGGAAAACAGGATCGGTTTGGTTGGCTCCTAATACCGCTGCTATTTGAACAATTTTGAAAAATGACGTAGCTTCACCTAATATGACCACATAGCATGCTGCTTCCCAAATTTCATCTAAATCGGTGCCGCCGCTGCCTTTGACCATCTTGGACTATACTATAAAAATCAATGCTTAGTAAATATTTTACTGAGCGCAACTAAATCCAAAGTTATTATATTCGGAGCAAAAAAAAAGTTGTAATGTAAAATCCATGTCTAATAGCTATCAATAATATTCCTCTAAAAATTGTAAGTAAAAACCTCGGTCCTTGGCTTGGTACGCAATGAGTTTCATGTAACAGGAATATGTTCAAAATTATACAGCATCCTTAAATCATTATGATCTCAACGTCATTTATTGAACACCAATTTGAATATACTAATCGTTTCTAAAATGACTTATTGTGATGTTGTTTATGGACCGGTTTTACAGTAAAAAGATAAAATAAAATTTAACGACTACAAAATCCCTGTTTTCACTTCTCTCTTGGTATAAGAAAATTCGACCACATTAGTCACGTTTATAGGGAAAACAAACAATTAAATTTGGAAATCTGAGAAACTTATGGCCTCCTGACTATGGTTCATAAAATTCTGGTTATCAAGAAACGAGAATATCTTGTCGAGAGGTTACACAAATTTGAGACAATTAACAGATTAGTAACTAGAAATAGCCAATCACTAGTCATAAACCACCACTTTACGTCACTTTACAAAAAGAGTTTTTCCTACATAGCTGTCAAGATGTACAATAGTCTACCAACTGAATACTGCCACCAGCTAACTTCAATTAAAAATCAAGAAAATATGCTACTAAATAATGTGACCATCCGCTAGCTACTTTATCCATACCTCTGCATCATCGTGATATAAAACTAAATAGATACACACATCATTAGTCAAATGAAAATGTATGCTTTGTATTCGGCCATTCATATTTATATAAATGACTTATCTATCTAACTTATCTGTTGTAAATTCACTTTTTTGTATTACTTGGATAATTTTTACATTACATAATAATTTGGTAACGGGTTGAGTTGAAAAATACCAAAGTGGTTACACTGTACCTGCCTTGAAGGCAATATATCATTATTATTAGTATTCTTAGTATTATATATAGAATCACTATCACCCATGGCTTGGAAAGTGAGGTTCTTCGATTTTCCTCTATCGACTGTCGTATTATTACGCCTCTGCATTATATTTATTATTATTATTAATTAATTATTTACTTCCCATTTGGAGATTCGCCACAATTGTGTGGTATCCGTGACACATTTTCATATAGAGCCCCTCAGAAGTAAGCTACGTCAAAGCATTACTACCAAAGTAATTGCGATTAGTAAGAAAATAAGCTAATTCAAAAAGCATTAACTAAAGACGTAGAACTAAGATATGTAATAAAAGTTTCAGAGATTATTTTTTGTCAAAAAATGGTATGTTTATTTCCTGTAAGTTATTGATAGTTATCGTTCATCCACCTTGTTAGTTCCCGATGGGTCTTCACACATCTTCACATTTGGTTTTCAGGCATCGCTTTCGTTATAACGTAGGTCAGGGCTGTCCAACTTAATGTGGCCCAAGGGCCACTTCAAAAATAAATGCAGTTTGGAGGGCCGCATTATAAAATCTTTCTATACAATATTATTACGGAGTTAATGTAAGAATTGTGCATATTCGGTATTTGAGAGTAATTTATACATGTGATGTATACATGACCCGTAAAGCGGGCCGTATGTTGGACAGCCGTGACGTAGGTAAGTGACCACCCTGAACCCAAATACCAAATGTGCGGAATCCCTGTTCACAGCAATCGAGGCATTTCGCAGGGCCAACAGAGGCCCGAAAACTCAACACAGATGTTTCTCCGTCCGTGTTACTCGAACCTGTCATCCTCTGGGACGACGGGTGACGGTGATGGCAGCGCGCAGAAGGGTCCACAAGCTGAAGATGTTTTTAATATGGACCGTTTCTCTTTTATGGGTTATGGTCCGAGAAATAGAGATACATGTGGTGGCCCGTTTTTTCAGTCTCTCGCTGTTATTTTGGAAAGGAATTAGAGGACTTGTATACTGGGAGGATAAAACACACAAAGTAATAGTAAACCGAATGTTAAACGAAAGCATTTTTTTCTAATGCCAAAACGTCTAAAGCCCCGTACACATGGCCGTGGCATCATGTGGATGGACGATGCATGCACAGTGCATGCACTGCATTCCCCATTAAATATCTTCTAATTAGTTACGCATTAACCTTCAACTAACATGTGAAACCGATGCATTATGCACGCATCACGCACTGTCAGTAGTGGGCTCAGCGCATCCAGACATCGATGTATTTCCTAAATACGTCCTAATAGTTATTTCCTTCGTTCAATTGTCAAAAAACAGATGAAAGTCGTAGCAAGGCTTTCTAAAGAGAGCCAGATCGCCGACAACCCATCGATACGGAAGGGTCCCGAGACTGTCCGTTAGGGAAGAGGTATCGATTAGTCGGACATCGCTGCTCTGAACAGCACCGAGCATGAATAATGTAGTCAGAGAGGCAGTACCCAGACATGTGAGTAGTACTCAAGGCTAGATCTTATCTTGGCCTTGTACAGACTGACGGGGTTATACGGAGAAAAGCCCTAAACAAATAGCCTGGCTTTTAGGTCATCGTGCCAGGTCAGGTCCCCTGTGATCTGGGCTCCGACCAGCCGAAATAAACGGCTTTTTGGTAGAACTCGGCCAACGAAACCGGCGTTGAGAGCTCTTTTTCAATTTCATTTTCAAAAGTGTTTTTTTTCAACACAATACTGCAACACTGTTGAAAAGTGGATGTGAAAAATCTATTCCAACTCTTAAAAAATGGCCTAAAAAAGGTTAATTCTGCATTTCCCTAACAATGCTGTCGTCAGCACGTAAAGGATTATGTTCGGCACATGTTAGCAGAGAAAAAGTTTAGCTACGAACATGCATAATAGCAAATTAAATTAATCAAGTCAGTCAAACAGCTCCATACAATTAGTCCATAGTCCTCACCCATTTGACAGCGTTGCGAAAACTCCATGATCCAACCGGCTGACGCTATGACTAATCCTTGCCAGCAAGATAGCCAGCGTGAAATATTAACTATCAGTCTAAGGGCAAATGTACAGGGAAATATATGATGTGTGAAATATGTCTAATATGTGTGTAGAAGTACCGGGGTTGGAAGCGTATAGATATACTAACCCCAAAAATAAAATGCCCCATCCCCAACCCGCAAGTTTTATCCCTAACACTATGAAACTTTTTCATAATTTTCCTAAAATAATTCAAAACGTCAAAAAACGAAGATTTTTTCGTGTTTTTCGCTCCGCCGCCACTGGACCAATTATGAAAAACTACATAGCATTTCGTCTTTGGTAATAGTAACCTTGTGTCAAAATTTCAGCAAAATACGAGCGTTACTTTCCCATTATAGAGGGGTCAAAAATTCACGGAGAGACAGGGCGACAGACAGACCGACAGAAATGAGAAACATTGCTGTTCGTGATGTATATGTGGTTATTTATGTAACATCAAAAAAACATCTAATTTTTTGTAATTTTTCCCGATTACAATACTTCGTCGCCAGTAACGTGAGCAGTGAAAAATAGTTGCAAAACATCCATTTCAGCTATTAAAGATGCATTAGTGTCTGTGATATCCTATTGGAAGTAGATTTTGATGATGATATAGATGTTAAAACACATTCTGGGGAGTTATAGACCATACATCGATAGCTTGGACAGCGTTCTTTTACAAACGTAACGCGAACTTTTTCTATAAAATAACGATATTTTCACTTACCATTTGTGCACCTGGAACACCTCTTCCTAGGAAACGAAGCATGCCTCAAGGAATGGTCGTCAATGTCGTCCCTTTCTCTTTGAGGGAAATCTTCCTTGAAGCTTCTTGTTGAGGACACCATACTGTTAGACCGCTCCTTCATAACAAAGGTGCCGATAGAGTGACGACGTTGGTTTGTACGCTTCATTGCGGAAACGTTGTAGTATCTGGAAGGAGATGAAGGTTAAAGTAAATTTTGTGTGGAAAAAGAGAAGATTCAAAACTATGAATATGGGAAAAATACATTCAGGGTGAGTGTTTACCGTTATCAGTTGATAGCACCGCAATTATAAAATGTGTCTAAAAACACGACGTACAAAAATTATAGGTACCTATATGCCCATCGATTTGTAAATAAATACCTATGCTTTTTTCCACATATGATTCATTGCAATGTGGCGTCGCAAATATGCATACATTGGTACAAGCCTCAATTAAAATTATCCCCATCATAATCATTCCCAATAAAAATCACTCCTTTCCACGAAAGATGTGATATTTATTCATTTTTGAATTGTAGTTTTTAGGAGACGACAAATAGCTTAAGAAATTAGTGACTAAAACCCGAAAAAACTTATTTCCAAATAAAGTCATCAAAACGATAACGGAAAACTGTAAAAACTGTACATTTTAAATTTTTGAGAAAAAGTATATTTTGCATTTATAAACAATGCCCAAAAAAATCATTTATATAACTTAAAAAAATCTTTCTGCACAACCAAATAGAAAATTGAAACGCCAAGCTTAAAAGTGAGAATCTGTCCTTGAAGAGCTTTTCGGTGATCTTTCTTCAGTTGAGCCGTTTCAGCGGGTCACGATCAAAAATCCGTCCTAAAAGCTCCATCAAAACCTTTGGGAATCACGGCTGCTCTATACTGTCTTTGGAGACATACCGGTAGCTAGTGCTGTCTCCACGGATCAGCCTTTAAGACCTCGTTGTTGGATTTTTAATGATTCTACCGACCCTTTTTCTCAGTATTTGCTTTATTTTTGCAAGGACTCTGCTTTCAAGTTGGGGACGAGGTCGCCCGCATCCGTATTACGCAAGTTAAAAAGTGATAATATATCTATTTTTATAATAATAATCATGTTTCTCGGTTAGAACACAAAATGTAATATAAATAATACATGAAAATATACCAATAAACAAGAAACACCCAAAAAAAGTATGAACTTGTGCTTATGCTTGAGATATAATAAATCAAACTTGAAATATTTTACAATACAAAATATTTTGTTTTGCTCAAATATGTAAATTAACATATCTTTAGTTACATTATGTAGGTTTTTCCTAAAAAATGTCATCTCGGAACTAGTTGTCGATCACTTCATGTTTACTTGTACTAGCTGTGTGTGTGTGTTGCCTAAACATCATGACACTTGAGGTATCTGGTTTAGCTCTGATGTGATGTAACAGAGATGGCACTAGCGGAGACCATTTATAGCTTCTATGGCTTAAGCTGTAAATTCTATAGCGACCAGCTAGTACACAAGTTGACACCATATGGGTATTTAATGTCATTGTATAGATTTTTTCCGCAATACCCCTATTCTCAATAGTTGTTCATTTTATTTATTGCGTAAAACTAGACAATTTACGATCACCAGATGTCATGTACGAGCGGAGATAACAAAGGATATTACAAAACCTTCCCTGTTATACTCAAATACCAATATATGTGCGAAATCACGGTAGCGAGAACTATATTATCCCTAAAGTACTTAAACATACGTGTGCAAATGCGAACTGAAGATGGATGTAATCGTAAATCACTTAAAACTTTTCCATGCTTACCGAGCAGACTCTTCTGTGAGGAAAACTTCATCGCCAGAAAGTTCGTCAGCTTGCTCTTCGCTTGTAGGGAGAGGTAAATAGTTGAAATCATTGCGTGCTTCCTCTCTTCTTGACCTCATAGATTCTGATCGAGAAGAGTGACGATACGCTAGGTCTGGTGCTAGGTCGCTCAGTCTTGGCTCTCCTAAATGAAACAAATACTGTGGTAGAGCGACTAATAGGTGGGTTTGAATTGTAAGCTTTCGTTCCAGAATGAAAATTACTATTTCAAAAGCCTAACAATTGACACCTGACGTGGACGATAGCTAATAATTGATGTTGCGGCATATGGTTGCAAAGCAACATTCGCAATCTGAACAGTCAAGACGTCAATAAGGCTTTATTCGACAAGCACAGGTAGTCTAAGTCATTGACCAGCATTTTAGGAGATTCATTTTTTGTTATACTTCTTTTTAAATTAGAAATAAGTGCGCCAAATTAATTGAGAATTCATTTTTTCTGCATGTATCAAGTATTTTCTCCTGACAACTATACATAATTATAGATCTTCTATAGTTGTCGAGATTCTCAACATATTGATCATCAAAGCAGATTATGAATCCTGAGGCCTACTATCAACGAATCGTAATGATAATGGAGTAAGTACATGGTAAAACTTGATAGGGGTATTCTTTGAGTGATTTTAAGAAGGAGAGTTCAAATAAACTAAGATACGGTAATATTTAGTTTTTTAAGATACAGGGTTATCAAGCCTTTTTTCGTAGCACAATTTGTTAATTTTGTAGCAATTCAGTAAGCACAGACGTTTAGCCGGAAATGTAGATTGGTCAGGATAAGACGCGTCACTAAACATCCCCCTCTTCCTAAACGAAATTATTTAACGGATTTAGATCTGGTGATTTAGATGGCCAAGATAATGTGTGGGTGTAATAAAACGTTTTTTTAAAATGATTTTGGTTACCGAAGATAGATCTATAGCTGCTATATTTCAACATACCTCAACAGAATCCGAAGAGTTGCCACGATTTTTTCTGAAAAAAGTTTGAGGTCCTTTCACTCAAAAAAGAAGCATTTACGTAAAATTTTATTCTCAGAATCACCCAATGAATCGCCATCCAAAATTGGGCCAAGTGCTTAACTATCACCCTGTAGAACTTTATTACAAAATTCAATCAATACTCACCCATAATAAGTAGTTCCTTATTAGAATCCGCTGAATTACTGCTGATAGATCTCATGAACGACCTCTTGGTGGACCTCTCGAACGAGGTACTGGGCTGATGACAGTCCATAACCACCGAGGAGGAAGAAGTGGATGGTGATTGGCCCTCCTTGGGCACCGAGAAGTACGAGGGGTTATCTGCAAAGAATAACATCGGAATATCAGTCCGACATTTAAAAGTCACAGGGACTATTTGCAAAGTTCATTCCAGCCCGGAGAAGTTAAGAACTTTAGTTAGCAAATAATAACATAGGAAGGTCGATCGCAGCCCGGCGACGGTAGCTTAACTCGACACGGCACGATTTTAGGTACTACTCACGCACGACCGCAAAGGCAATATCTCTATTCAGCACGCACCGTGTGACAGGGTGACAGTACTATTAATCTTTATGTCTTCGGCGCTTGCGATGCCGGTACGGGTGCATACGATGCGACGATGCCATATTGGCACAGATGCACTTTCTGTATCCTTTATTACCCATTTCGGGGATACTTAGTAATTTTCTATTGTTTGGGATGTGTCAATGAGTGAAAAAACGATCCATGGATAATTCCTTTCAATGTTAATCGCTTTCATAAGACAAAAATAATCGTTCTTCCTGAAAAAATCGATTTTTACTTTCCACGCCTGCTAGCGAGAAACTACTGTATAAACTTTTCGAAAGTCAGTTTTTTTTGATGTTATATGACATTTCCATCGCTCGTCTGACGGTCTATCCGCTGATCTTATAACCGCCTTAAAACTTGAGAAGTGTCGCTCGGATTTCGATGAAATTTTTACACAATGTTGGTACCATTCCAGGGACTCGAAAGCTTTATAGTTTTTGAAAATCTGTTTAGTGGCAGCAGAGTAAAGGACCAAAAATAAAAAAGAATACAAATAGCACAGACTTCGTTTTTTGACGTTTCAGAGAATTCTGATCATTTATGAAGAAAACATTTTTGATGTTACTACATTTAAACGCACCCAATCTTGTTATTTATGCGCATCTATTAGATATATTTCATACATCATGGATTTCTCGGTACAATAGCACTTAAAACTTGTATCACATTTATTTCTGCTGCATTATAGCATAGTGTTTCCTATGTTTTGACCGCGATGCCATGTCTGACCGAGTTAAGTATCGGGATGAGGTGACATTTTTAGATGCACTGCCGGTAGAGCAAGGAAATAATATCTATGGACTAATTATATGGACCTGTTTGACTGACTTTCAACCTTCTCGACGCCGTTTTATTTCTATTAGTCGAAAAACTGCATGCTTGTCTGTACAGTAATAATAGAATATAATAACATAAATTAAAATATCAACATTAACAATTTATCAGATTAAAAATCAAATGAAATGATGAACATGAAAATCACCAAAACGAAAACATTCTGGCTTCAAAATGGAAAAATGAATAAATTTTTAACAGTTTAAGCATCTCATTAGGATCAAAATGAAAGAAAAAGACCACGAGTAAAATGTTAAAGAGCAAAAACAAAATTGTTTTGGACTTTAAACAATATAAAAACTCGAAATAATTATTGCCACAAATGTTCAGAGTCAGTGCTATTTAACATTTGAGTATATCGAAAATAAAAAATGATATGTACTAAGAAACACAAAATCATGGATTATTGTCATACATTTTCAGCTAGCGACTTTAAAACTATTAATTTTTGTAATTTTTCCCCTTAATATGGTTCATTGCTTTCTTGATCGTGATTCCGCTTTGGAAAATAATCTTTAGTGGTTTTACAACTGTTTTTAATTCCTTCGGGCAGTACTCGCATACTGTTGTGGAATTATCCTTCTTCATAGAGAAATACCTTCTCCAACCGCCTTTAGGTATTTTACCGTGGGAAGGCAACAAAATAACGAGTCATTAAGCCTTACGCTATGTTACTTTTGACAGTGTTCACAAATAAGTATGACTGGAGTTTTATGACCGCTAAAGTTTACCGTAGTAGTGTGACAGTACTGATTACTAACAATCATGACAAGTGGCTTATCTTTTTTTGATTTTGATGTGAAGCTTATCGTAAAAATTTCAATAACTTGTTATATCTTTTAATGGAGAAAGTTCGGTACTATTTAAAATACCATTACTCCAAACCAGTCAAGAAATTAATAAGTTCAGATTAATAGAACCACAGAACGACAAGTGACCACAAAATCATCAGAAATAGGATAAAAAGCTACAAGGCATATATAATAAGAACAAGGGCAATTCATTTCATTTATTTATATCTGATATCTAAAACTCGTATTTCTATTGAATTTTAACCCACATTCATAACTTGAAATTATGTTAATTAAGCTTCCGAGGCTTTACAGATTCGGGCAACGGCGCTGGATGAGGAAACAATGAACGAAATAGACGCTCCTATTCTCCGTAACTAACGGAGTTTCTTATTTTGATAAAGGTGAATGAAAGGTTATCTGGCCGCTGCGCAAGCCCAAAATAACTAAGATTATTACGAAGCAGCAAATAAGAGCAGTAAAAACACTCGAATTACTGTTACAATCTCGCAGGAAACAAAACCGTTTGAAAGATATGAAACTGTTTCAAATACTTACGCACAGATAGTGTCGCATTTTGTCGACTTGTTCATGTTAGTGAACTGTGAACTTACTTCGGGCTTTTGCATATGTCAAATAGGCGATGATGTTTGGAAAAACCGATTGGAGCGAGTAATTTATATAATCGATTTGTCAAAAATCGTTTATTGTGATTAAGAAAATCGATATTAAAAACCGATTATAAAGAAAAACTAATCGATTAATGATAACTGCTTAATATTCCCACAGTTTTTGCCCGAAATAACTCTAAATCGTACTTAATCCTGATTTAAAATCTCCTTTGTAGGAGGAGAAAATTATCTGTAAAAGCTTTTGGGATAAAACACAAGTTGAATTACTATTAAAATCTTCGTCAATTAACATTAAGTGCAGATAGGAGCTCGGATGTGCGTGATCTAGTCTTGTTGGGTATACTTCAAGGATACATACTGCCATCATTTTTCACAGATATGAAAAACCTACCATAGGTTGGGATTGTTGCTGCGCTTTGCAGTATCCTGTCTGATAGATGGCAAGGTGTACAAAAAAATTTACCGAGTCTGCATGTCATGACTAAACTATAATATTTGCACAAATAATGTATTTTCTAGTCGCGTAGGTTCGAATATAAAACGGTCGATGTGGCAACGACGCGGTGCATCTTGAATGATTCTCCAAGAAATGGTGGGGAAAGAGGAAGTCAGAGGGATCCGACAGGATACGGTAAGGCCTCGTAGTGCATTTTAAGGTAGAGAGATGGAAACATTACAGGATAGTACTCCTTATCTTGTAGGACTGCAAGTTGTGTTACAATGAAGGTTAGTTCTTCATGATTGAATAACGCTCAACCTCCTCTGTAGGCCAACAAATAATTTAGATCAATTTTAGTACACATTGGTTTCTCCATGGCCGTTGAAAGAATGAGTTTTATGAATATTTTTGAGCTAAAGTTCCTTCAAGTGAGATTAAATATTCCCAGCTTAGATATTAAAAACAATTAATACTTCCAAAAATGAACTTGAAGAACATGCATACAAAAGCAAACTGAAGGGCATTATCTGCAGTATCAAAAGTGTAGATAGATCAACTGATGACATTCATCTAACATCTTGAAGATGAAATTTTGCCAATAAGCCTACAGGTTTTGAAGTTCTTTTAACACGTTCATATTAAATATTGATTTTTGGGGTCACTTTGTGTGCATCATATATGTCGTTTTCAGATCGACTATATCAAAGTATCATATTTTAGTTGTTAATAATTTATATCTCTATACAAGATTTCTCAAATAATGATATATTAACTTCTGAAACATATGTTAGCCCACGTGATGTGAATTGCAGAAAGAAATACAAAATATTTTTGTGATCGTGTAAAATTTTGGAGTTGATGATGCGAGTTTTGTAGCAGACGATTCATACCTGCTACAATAAGCTTGTCCTTGGGTCCAGCCCTGTATAAATAATGTAAAACACAACACGCATTAGGGATTCCGAACAATGCGTTTTCTCGGTACTTCTGTCAGATGAATACATGTATACGGCCTAAGCAGCACACATATTTTCGATATGATTGACGATACACCCTCCATAAATATTAATGCAGCGGAAAATCATATTGTCCTACAATATCTTCGTCACCTGTTACAGAGAAACAAAGCACTAACGTGGGAAAATGGATGGACACGAATGGAAGGGTGTAGGTAAAGAGCTAGCACATTATCATTAGATTGATGATATATGATAATTATCTCTCTCTCTCTCTCAGTCCTTTCTAGTTTGGTTGTCCAAAATATGTCCTGATGTTTAAGTTTATTCAGAAGATAACATAGTGCATTGCAGAGGATTCCTTTTTCTCTAAATTTGCAAATAGGCATTTAATTCGACCAGATATGCTGATGATCTAGCCGTGGTTATGAGAAGCAGGTAGGAAAACACTTAAGAAGGCCCAACATCATGATCGTGTTTTCACAAAGTAATGCTTGTTGTCCTTTCTGGCACACAGAAACTGAATTTCATTGTAGTTATTGAAAATAGAGTATTCAAATTGTATTGAAACTTAGGGACATGGATAAGTTCAAAAGAGGATAGCCCTGTTTGTACTGCTGGGTCCATCTTACTTCTCAAACGGAAGTCGGGGTGGGATATGCCCCTGGCCCCTCTAATTTTCTCCAGAGCAGAAAGTGTAAGAACTCTCTACAAAGTATAAATATTTCTACCCTGAAAGGCTAAAAAAAGGACGATCTTCTGCACACAACGCAAAACAAACCTTCGACTCAGACTGTTTTGATGTCTGACGCAACCTAATTATTCTGATTACATATTTTTTAATTAAAACGCCTCCTAGGGTACAGATAATGAATTTCACAGAGGAAAAATGACAACCTAATTCAGAGAATATATGAAGGAAGCCAAATAAACTAAATATTGCTTACCTTACAGGGTACTACATAATAATATATCTACCGTAATCAGAAGGGAGCATTTAAGTACAAAAGTTTATATAAACATGTTTACTAAAAAGTTTGGTTCACACAATAACAGGGTGTTAAGGTTTAAAAAAGATGTCTGATATCGCAAAAGTACT